GCAGCAGCAGGTTCTGCTAATCAAATGCATGTGAGCAGAAGTCGACAGCATTCAGGTGTGCATCAACACAAGCAATGAACTCAGCAATGAACTGCCCAGATTGTTGGCCAGAAATCGTTGCTGTCCATCAATCTGACGTCCAAACAAGTCAAAGTGGAAACATTGTTAGCAGAGTTAGAGGCGATGAGCTGCACTTGGCCTGGGCACGTGCAGTCAGTGAGTTCACCATGAAGTCCTGAATCCCAGAGTCAAATGTAAGGCCACCTGTACCGAAGACTCTACCACTACTGAAGAACAAAGGGGGGGTCTGAAGTACTCAAACAAATCTGCAACAGAACGGCTAAAAATAAAAGACTCGAGCTGGAGTCCAAAGACCAGAACTCAAGTCTTTACCTTAAGAGAGCTGTGCATAAACAAAATGTATCCTTGATAGCTTCTTTTTGCATATATTTAAGGGGCAATTATCAGTACATATTAGTGGGATGAACTACAACAGGCAGAAATCAAACAGGTGCAAATGTCTCTGTTAAAGATTCCTTACAGCAGCTCGTGCATTTCATCAACAGTTTGAGATACTGCAAACAAACAAACCCAAACAGCACACTGGTGTGAGGAAGACGTGTTTGTGTTATGACAATATTTCTAATATTTATGCACACAAAAGCATTTTCAGTGTCTTTTAGTCTCCAAAGTACAGCCTGCTTGCTTCTCTTGATTTAGGAATGCAGGTCCACAGCAATCAGCTTTAACCAGACAGCACCGTGCTCATGCTCAACCTTACCCGTCCCAGGAAGTCATCATCGTCACAGTATTCTGCCTGATCTCTGGAAGGCAGCTCCTCCAGCACGGGGAGCCCACTGTCTGTCTGATACTCTACATCATAAGCAAATTCAGGAAGACTTTCACTGGTAGAGAAGAGATTTCTATCTTCTGCCCGCAAGAAGAGCTGGTTTGCTTGAGTAGCGCGCTGCAGGCCAAGACTACTCCCAGGTACTGGTGAAGGCGGTTCAGAGATATGATAGGAAATCACATCTTCTGGTTCAGAAAAGTCAGAGAAGGCTTGTCTGCAGTCGAAGAACTCCGTATCTGAATCAGAGTGCTGTGGAGATTCAGAGAAGTGCTGCTTTACTGGGTCATTCGGTTTACCTAATTCAGATTCGGACGCTTGTTTCTCTCTGGTTCCTGTGAGGACCTTCTTCAAGTCTGGTGAAGAGTCTTCGGTGTCTCCAAGGGTTTCAGACTCTCTCTTAGTCAGAGCTTGGCTCTCAAGCTTAGCTGACACTGACAACAGGAGGCTCCTGTCATTCGAGGACACATGGCTACAGTCAGGAGCTCTCAGATGTTCTTGAAGCATTGCCTGATCTCGATCAGGAGCTGGCGAGGGTGGAAAGTGCTCACTAGATCGTGCTGCCCACTCAGAGCACCTGTGGGATGCAAACGAAGCCTTCTCACGTGAAGGCAGAATTGGAGTAACAGCTCTGTGAGTTGTGTATGTGCTGTGTTCAGGCAGCTGTAGAGGGACTGACGCCATCGGCTCGTCTTCACCAAAGAGCACACCTATGTTGCTGCTCTGCTGTGTTATTGTTGTGGCAGACTGAAGCTGTGTGTCATCGACTGTTTGAAACCTTTCCTTTGGTGTCTCAGGAGCCTGGAAGTGAAATTTCAACATTATCTCAGTAGCTAACTAAGAACACCAGAGGGTGAGCTTTAACCATGCAGACAAAGCCTTTTTTAATCCACAAAAACAACAAGTTTAGTCTGAGTTCAGGGAAATAGGCTTACTGCTTAGAAACGTCCAACAGACTGCAAAAAGTGCAACCGTCTGTCATCAAATGAACTGAAGGGAATAATTAGTAGCTCACGACTCATCCCAGCATTAATCCATGTTGTTGTTAGTTCGTCACACAGAGTTACACTTTTTTATGTCCAAGTGACATAAAAGGTTAATCAAAACTAGCTACTCTCGGCTGGATTTCATGCTTTCAGTCTTACCCTTTGAGAGGCTAGCTTGGTCTTTAGATCATCACCACTAGCAGGCTGGGTCTTCTTCTGCTTTCCTTCACCATCGTTAACATGTGAGTCTTCCTCACAGACGGTGGTTTGGGAAGTTGAGAAGCTTCCAACCTCGGATCCGGGCTCCATCCATTCTTTGTATGACCCAAATTCTGGTTGTAATTCTTTCATTTCTTGCCACTTAGGACGTTCTTCACCAGACTTATCCCCAATTTGAATTACTAACGGCGACATCGCTATTGGGCTTTTGATAAGTAACGATGAAGATGGATCAGAGTCTAATTCCTCCTCTGATTCCGCAGCTTCAGGGCTCAAAGGTCGCGAAATATCATTAATCCAACAATCAACAGGCAAGGCCACAAACTCAGAGTCTGATGCCAAAGAAACCGGAGAAGATGATCTATCTACTGGAGTGGCATTCATAAAATAAGACGACAATATTCTCATAAATTCAGGTACCGGTGAGTCAGGTAACAGTTGTTCAGACTCACCGAGAGACGACACAGATTCAGGTGAGGATGGTCTGTCACTACCAGCAACTTTTGATGATTTGACAATCAACTCGTACTCTGAGTCTGAACTCTGTGATTCAGTTGATGACTCACAAATTGTGCTGTAAGCCTCCAACGACTCTGTAAACTGAGGGATGGGAGAGTCTGGAGACAGCGGCCTGTTCTCATTGAACTCTGGCATTGATTCTGGAGATGAGGCTCTTTTGTCAGCCATGTGTACGGCAGATTCGAATGACACAGGTATGTATTCAGAGGACTCAGAGGATAGTGGCCTGTCTGTCTCGTTTTGATCATCAAACCGTGGAACTTCCACAGATGATGGTCTGAATTCTACAAAGTCAAAGTCTACATTCAGTGGCGTATGATCTGAACCCAACGCTAAAGGTGACGACGATGATGATCTGGGAAACCTTACACACTCTGACAATGCCACAGTAAGTTCTGGTACTGGAGAATCTGGTGAAAGTGGTCTGAACTGACTGACTGATGTCACAGGTCCTGGTGCTCTTACGTCTAACACGACTGCATTGGAGGATTCTGGTGAATCTTCATCCTGTGTTTCTGCCTCAGGCAATTCAAATATAGACTTTCCCTGTCTGTATGGAAGTGCTCGCGAAGAGAAAATGTGTTCAGTCATAGGTGGACGTGAGTCTGCCTCCTCTGAATGTGGTCGTGTGACCGTCACGTCTTGCTTGTTTATATCTGTTTCACTTCTCTCGTCAACAAACTCTGTAAACCTTTCTTTACTATGCAAAGTTTCTCTGGCACACTGAAGATGACTTGCTTGAGAACTTGGACTCCATCGTTCAGCTTCATCAGCGAGATTATACTCAGTTACCATCATTAGTGATTCTTTAGGGTCAGGTGGGTCTTTTGATTCCTTTAAAGATGATCTGGATGCAAGTGTTTCCTCCGTATCTAATACTAAAGATTCAGGTGATGTTGTTCTTTCTTCCATACAGAATGGAGCTGAAGCCTGGGATAAACTGTCAGAATCTGAAAAGTCTAATGGTGACATGTTTCTCACACACGTGAAAGTTTCCACAAAAGTCTTTGTGAAGTCGGGCACTGGTGATTCAGATCCCAGGAGTTCGTCAAATGATCTTTCGGACTGCGCTGACAATGCTCTCTTGGTAGTGATGTTTGCATTAAATGGAGAATATGTCCGATCACAGTCCAGATCTGAAAATAATGATGATAATGATTCAGAGGATGAGCTCCCATAAAGTGTTCCTGCTGCTGGAGCCTCAAAAACATTTTGTGCAAACCAAGGGAGAGGTGAGTCTGGAGAAAGCTTCTTGTGTTCATCCAATGACCGAGTAGATTCTGGAGATACTGATCTAATGTTTCCAAGTAGCACTAATGACCCAGGAGACATGGGTCTGTATTCTGGTATAGATTCAACAGAGAGCGGCCTTTCTTCTGTTTCTGATTCTACTGATTCAGGAGAATCTGGTCTGTTCTCAACACAGAAAATTGTGGACATCAGAAAGTCCCTCACAGCGTACTCGACATCGGATTCGATGGATTCAGGAGAGGATGAGCGATACCCAACATTTACAATGACACGTTCTGGCATTCCTGGTGTGTAATCGGGTATTGGCGAGTCTGGTGACTGCACTTGGTACTCATCTCCAGAAGCTACCGAGCCAGGTGAAGAGCATCTCATGTCATGAGCTAGTGAGCTTAAACTTATAAAAATATATTCATCGTCCGAACATGTTGACTCATGAGATGCCGATCTTTGTGCAAAGACATTTTTGGGTACTCTAAACAGTGTTTTCACAAAGTCAGGTACAGGTGAATCAGGCGAAAGTTTATCTGGTGATAGAGATTCAGGAGAAAGTGGTTTACCAAGTGTTGGGAGGTCTGTTTTTAGGTCTGAAAGCACTGACTCAGGGTGCATGGACCTTAAAGCACTGTGAGACTCACGAGGTAACCGAATGGGTGAGTCAGGTGAAAGGGGTTTAAAATGATCTTCTGACTGAGTTGAATCAGGAGATTCTGCCCTGTCCTCAAACATCTGTAAAATCAGAGGAGCATATTCTGTTTCTGAAGCCACTGATTCAAGTGACGATGACCCGTGAGCTTTGAACTCAACATTAGTTTCTGGCAAACCCCGTCTGAAGTCAGGTACAGGGGAATCAGGAGAAAGACTTGTGTATTTGCTCACAGATGGTAAGGATTCTGGAGATGAATGCTGGCCTTCTGGGACCAGAGAATATAACTCTGTTTCAAAATCAGATAACACAGATTTAGGTGAACAAGACCTGAAGTCTGTATATGATATCGATGGTTCTAGATCTGGTCTAAATCCAGGAATTGGTGAGTCTAGTAAAAGTTTAAACTCTGATGCAGCTGATTCAGAAGATTCGGCTCTGTCCTTAAAAAGCCCCGTGGCACACAAATCTCTCTCTGAATCTTCATCTGAATATACTGATATGGGTGATAAGGGCCGGTATTTGACTTCTAACATGGTGGTGTACTGGGGTAGTGGAGAGTCAGGAGACAAACATCTGAGGTCAGACACATCTGATTGGCAGGACTCTGGTCTGTCCTTAACATCAAACATCTGTGAAATCAAAGGAGCATATTCTATTTCTGAAGTTACCGATTCAGGTGATGACGACCTGTGACCACTGGCATCGACACAAGAAAGAGTGGAAATTGGTAAATGACCTGATTTGTTTAGAGAGCCACTTGATTCAGGAGAAGATGATGTGACATTTGCCATTAGTGATACAGGTGAGGAAATGCTATGCTCTGATGTAGAGTCAAAGGTCAAAGGTTTCTCTTCAGTTTCTGATTCTAATGATTCTACAACAACCGGCCTATCTTCAGTATCAAGTAAGCGGTTAGCTAAAGATGAATACTTAACATCAGACATAACTGTTGATCTAAACTCAACAAACGATGGGTAACGTTCAACTACTCCTGACATGACCTGAGGTTCAGATGAATCTGGTGATTGAGTTTGACTTTCGTCTCTAGATAAGCCTGAATCAGGCGATGGAAGTCGGCGTTCATCTGCCATTGATACAAATCGACCCTCTTCAAATTCTAAATCAGAAAAACAAACAGATTCAGTTGAACTGGACCTGCATTCAGCATTCGAAACACTTGGGGGGTGAAATATAAAATGTTTGAATTCAGGTATAGGTGAATCAGGGGAAAGTGTCCTAAATTCATTTTCAGAATCTGGTGTAAGTGATCCCCTCTTCGCCTCAACAAATTCCATGTCCAAAACTTCTAAGTCATTGTCCAGCATGAGAAATGTAGGTGATGATGACCTGCTCCCAAAAACTAACACACCTTCTTCTATATCTGGGTTGAATGGTGGTGGTAGAGGAGAGTCTGGAGATAGAGGCCTAAACTCATTAATGGATGCCCTTGAGTCAGGAGACCATCTTCTTATTTCTGTCACTAAGTCTTCAGGTGACATGGGCCTATATTCCATGACTGACTCTGGTGAAAGTGGCCGCAATGCAGTTTCTGAATTGAAAGACCCTGGACTGCCAAGGATGCAGGACTCAGCAGGACTAAACTCTGATGAAACTGAAGGTTCAAAAGATAAAGCAGAAAATTCCTTCTCTTCCACATCTGAATCGAGTTGAATACATTCTAGATTGGTCCCAGTATCATCAACTATTTCAGCTCTGTTTACAAAACCTTCTCCTACATAATGAGGATCATACAGCTGACATATCATCTGGTGTGCCCTAAATGTTTCATCGGCTGCTGACATCTTGTCTTCAAGATTGGAAGCTGAGTCTGTTCTCTCATCTGTAAAGACCACTGAAGTTGAGAAGCCATATTCAGTATGTGAAAGCAATGACTCTGGTTTGGAGGACCTATATCCAAAGGCAGCTGTGTGCAATTCAGGTACAACAGGTCTGAAGTCTTGTAAGGGTGAATCAGGTAAAAATGGAGCACTTCCATCTGCAGATATTACAGAAACATGTGATAAAGGCCTCCTTTTGTTGTGGTCTGATCCATTGGTTGACACAGCTGATTCTGGTAAAGATGAGTGACACTCTGAAATGTTAGAAAAGTAAGGGGAAATAAGAGGAACTGGGGAATCCGAGCAGATGCCTTTCAAAGAATCTGGAGAATCTGTAATTTCCTCCAGCAATAAAGACCTGTTTTCTGAATCAGGTGACAGTGGTCTGTCCTCTGAATCCTCCAGAACATACTCCGTTTTTGTTCCAGCATACTCAAAAAACCCAGTTTTACTTGTCTGTCCGACATAGTGAAGATCATGTATTTGAGAACTTAGCTTCCAAAATTCAGCACCATAAACAAGTTTATAGATGGGCACTTTAACCTTCTTTAAGGACTTACCACTACCAGCAGTCTCTGTAAACTCTGTGATTCCTGATTCAGGAGATTTGGGTGTCTGTTCAGTTATGTCTACACTTGATTGTTGAAGCTCAGAATTTGAAATTACTGACTTAGAAAGTAGTAATTTATGATCAGTAATTGAAATTGATTCAGTAAGACCTGTTTCAAATGTCGGTGTTGGAAAGTAACCACTGTCTTCTCCAGAAATTTCAGAATAAAGAGATGAAGGTCGAACTGCAGAGCAAAATGAGAGAGCTGAGTACTCATTCCTTGACGAAAGAGAAACGGGTGATAAGGGTTTTCCAAGAGTAGCTGTAATGGCACATAGCGGCGTGTCTTCATTAACAGAATCTGGAGATGAAGCTCTGT